TCATAATAGGTGAGGATATCTTACCTTGTCGTTGATAACGAAAATCTCTCTTGAAGCTCCCCCAAAAATCGCCCAAGCCATGAAAAATGGGTGAAATGAACTCAAACCCCGATTTAAAACATCCCTTCTGCCTCCAGCGATTTCCGCACCTGCGGTCCCTTGACCGCTTCTGCGGTTCCGCAGGTGCGGATCAATCACCGCTTCTGCGGTCCGCCCAAGTCTTCCCTTTTTCGCTTCTGCGATATGCCCTCCGCAGATGCGGTACCGCTTCTGCAGAAATTTGACCTCATCTGCGGTCCACTCTGAGCCGACCAAATCCCCTTCTGCGACCACTTCTCCGCAGATGCGGTCCCGCTTCTGCGGAACCTTGACCAAAAATTCGCACCTGCGCCTTCCTAGCCGCTTCTGCGGTGCCGCACCTGCGGCCCCCTTTCCGCAGGTGCGGTTATGACAGCAACCAGCAGTCAACCTTCCAAAAATCCCATTTTTCGATCCGTTAACCACCCGGAATCCACCCGAGGCCCCCAGGACCCCAACCAATCATACCAACCAGTCCCAAAACACATTACGGACTTGCTCGAGGCCTCAAATCACATCAAACAACGCTAGAATCATGAATCGACCTCCAATCCAAGCTTTATGAACATTAGAACTTCAAACTTCTACTTTCGACGTTTACACCTATCAAGTCACGTCCGATTGACTTCAATTTTGCACACAAGTCATATCCGACATTACGGACCTACTGCAACTTCCGGAATTGGATTCCGACCCCGATATCAAAAAGTCCACCTCCGGTCAAACTTCTCAAATACCTTCAAATTTCTATCTTTAGCCATCCAAAATGACCTACGGATCTCCGAATTCACCTCCGATCGCGCTCCCAACTCCAGAATCACCATACGGAGCTATTCACAGACTCGGAATCCCAAACGGACATCGATAACAATGAAATGCACTTCAAGCCAAACTTATGAAATTTCTTCTAAAATGCTAACTTCCACAATAGGCGCCAAAATGCTCTCGGGTTATCCGAAACTCGAACCGGGCATACGCCCAAGTCCGAAATCATCATATGAACCTGCCAAAACCTTCTGATCCCGATTCCGAGGTCGTTTACTTAAAAATTTCAATCCAAGTTCATTCTTTCAACTTTAAGCTTTCGAAATGAGAATTCTCTTTCCAAATCAACTCCGAACTTCCCAAAATTTAATTCCGACCATGCGTACAAGTCATTATACCTGAAATGAAGCTGCTCATGGCCTCGGACTGCTGAAGGACGCGCTAGGGCTCAAAACGACCGGTCGGGTCGTTACATGTTCTAACTCAATACCTCGCATACTAAGATGGTCAGCTCGTAAGGGGCAGATTTGGTTAGCTGCCTTTGAAGAGAAGATGATAAAGCCTGAGTGGATAAAGGTAAAGTTTCCTTTATTATGATTATACAATTACCTTCAAAATATCTACAATTATTCTACTTTTTCTGCCTTGATCAAACTAATTTATTTTTCCTCATTCAGTTTACCAACATAGTTGAATCTGGAGAAGATATTGCAGTGTGGATTTTGCCTGACAAAATTGAGTACAAAGTTCAAGAAGGTGAACAAACATCTGAGTTTCCCAATACTGATCCTCCTACATTGGAACACAAACAAACAGTTGGAGAAGAGGACACGGAGTCTATTTCTGAGAAGATCAGCAAATTAGAAAAAGGAATTGCGCAGGTAATACATATAAACGACAATATATCTACAATTTATCTACAATATATCTACATTTCATAAACAGTCTACCAAATTTCTACAAATATATATATATAAAATTGCATATGTTTTTGCATTGTATGGTAGAACATATTATGAAGTTAACAACTTACTATATTGTAACTTGTAGGTTGATGGAAAGCTTGAAGATTTTAGGAAAGCTGTCTTTGTAGAACTCGATAGCCTTCGAGTGTTTATAAATGATTCTGTGCAGACAGTTTTGCAAATGATAAACAGTAGAAATGTGCAAGATGATGCAAAGGTAAGATCTGACTTTTATTTTTATAGCAAAACAATTTATATATTTTTAAAATTTATACAAACTGACATAAAATATTCAGTTTGCTGGCAGTTCAACAAAAAACAATGACCAACAAAAAGACTTGAACAATGAGCATTTTCAGTTCAATATTGGGGAACAAGTGCAGGCCAGCACCACCAAAACAGGTATCTACAAAATACCTACAAAGTATCTACAATTTGTGTCAGTGAATATACAACATATCTACACTTATCCACAAATTATCTACAATTTTGATAGTTTATATGCTACAACTTTCAAGCCACCATTATCCAGTATTATTTACCATTTTTAATTATAAAACAGAACATGTTGAAGGTGCGGTTGGTCAAGAAAATCTTCCATCACATGGTGGTTTACATACACATTTTCAAGTTGCAGCTGATAAAGACAAAGCAGGTATCGTACTGTCATTCAGAGATATTTTCTTGTTGTTTATAAGATTCAACATTCTTGTTAAGTAAGATATGAATTGTGTTACAGTGATGGAAGATATTAATGCACAGTCCCCAATTCACGGAGTGATAGTAGCAGCTCAGACCGAGCAGGTCATCGAGGAAGATGACAATGAAGGTGCAGATGCAGAGTATGTGGATCTAGGTGATTCAGAAGGATCAGGAGTTGAGAAGAATGGGGTCACACTAGATGATTTTGAGTTGCCGACAACTTATCCCAGTTGGTTATGTTTGGCGAGCCCATACAAAATGATGCAACACCTATGCATCCGGGGAGAACAAGGCATCCGGGAAAGCATGCTCGATCACCATTTATCCCTCTATACAGTTCTGGGGGCAGCAGCTCGGTTGGACCTAAAATTTTCTACCTAAAGCACCCTTTTACTACTGTTATTGGTGAAAATGTAGATCCGGATGTTTTAGAGAACTTCAGCAAGTGGTTATACCACTCTATTGACAAAGGTTCAAAGAGGTATGAATGCGTAATTTGACAATTGCTTTTCAGCATTTATCTTTTACATATCTAATTCAATCTAGAATTTTTTTTGTCATTTATTTGTTGTCACAGGAGGAAGGCTCCATTTTCCATAAAGGATAACCAAATTAAGCCTTGGTTAGACCTTGGAGTAGAAAAGGTTGATAAGAAGGAATGGTTCTATTCCCTGGCTCACCCCGGTCAAGTCCTTAATGACTCGGTAAGTATCAAGGAGTCTATTTCCAATATATGATTTGTAGATATCTTGTCTTCTGTTTTGTAGTTTAATTGTATTTATTTTATAGATATCTATAATATATGAAGATGACTTGTAGTATAAATTGTAGATATGATGTAGACATAATTCTAAATGTTGTTTTGTAGTTTAAATTGTAGAACTGTTCTTAGACACATTTTATATTTTTTGTTTCTGTTTTGTAGTTAATTGTAGTTATAATGTAGTTATATGTAGATTATTTGAAGTTGACTTGCTGTTTATATGCCAACTATTTTTGGTTGCGGCACATTAATGTTTTAATGTATTACTTGAGGAAAAGAGGCAAGTATGCCCACAATAACACGACCAGGTTTACCACAACGGATTGTGTGTTCAAGACCAGGATAGAACAAATTTATGAAAAGTTCATAAATTCACCTCCAGAAAAGAGGTATTCTGTTGTTAAACCCCAAGATGTTGTTGCAGAATATATTTTGGGGTATAGACTACTTGCCAATGTTGCATGGGATGAAGTTGACTATGTGATCATGCCCGTCAATATTGTAGAAAAATTCCATTGGGTGTTGGTTGTTTTCAACATTGCAGACAGGCAACTTTATGCATATGATTCCATGGTCTCTTCACACAACCATCAAGCTGTTGAATCCTGTGTTGATAAGTTTTCTGTTATTATCCCTTTGTATTTGTCATGCACTGGTTTCTATGGGAAGCGTAAAGACATTAACTTCAAGACTACAAAGGCATACATCGAAAAACCAGTTACCGACCCTCTTAACATTCAGTGGCTCGTTGGAGAGATTCCACAGCAAAAAGAAGGGTCACTGTAAAAAATCTATTCTCTCTTTCTATGCATTTAATTCTTTTTTTTTATTTCTAATCATTTGGTAAATATTTTTTAAATTTTGTATTCTGTAGCGATTGTGGTGTATTTGTTGCTGCCTTTGCGGAGTATGTTAGCCTTGGAGATTTGTCAATTCCCGCAGAAGACCTTTCTGATATTGACCAACATCGTAGACGCTATGGAGCGCTCCTATGGGACTATGCTACAAAGAAGCAGGAAGATGGGTCAATCAGTGAAAGTGAGGTTACAGGCAGACTAGCAAGGAGGAAGGGTGCACCTGCATTGAATGAGAAAACAAGAGTACAGAGAAAGAAGAAGTAGTGTCATGTATATGTAATTTAGTTGATGCTAGTTTGTAGGATAAGTATAGTACACAACTTTCTGAACAATTCCTTTGTGTTTTTATTGTAGCTGACCTTTTGTTTTGTTAATTTTTATCCAGTTTAGTAGTTCACTTGAAAATAACTTGGTGGTTTTATCTCCAGTTGTTTAATATTTACAACACTTGTTCTTCATTATCTTAAACGTAGTTATTATGTTGTCAGAATACAAATTATCTACAAAAAAAATTTCAAATTATCTACAATCTGGAAACACTCAATGTTGAGATTGTATATAATTTTATAGTTCAACATGTATATAATTTGTAGGGATTTACCTCCAGTTGTATTTAATTTTTGTATATAACTACCAGTTCAAGTTAAATTAATTTTTTTAAACTTGTAGTTATATTGTAGATAATAAATATTAACTGTTATGTACAGAATGTAAAAAATGGAGGTAGATGCTTGACACAATATAGAAAAACATGTTAACAAACACAAAAACAAATTGAAGTTAACTACATTATGATCTTTAAAAACTTAAACGATTACACACAAAATTCTGTTAACTTGAACACACTAACAACTATTTTGAAATACTATTCTAACTACATGATATTTTTTTTTTGGGTGCATTCTTGCAAGATCTTTTGTTATGCCCTTCACCTCCACAGTTTCCACATGATACCTTGTACTTCTTTGACTTTAGTTCATCATATGTTTTGTATCTTTCCTTTTGAGGTCTTCCTGGCTGCTTTTTCTCTCCCGTAGGTGGATTTACTACTTCATCAGATATATGTTGTGGCACATTCCATTTGCTTTCATCAGGAAGAGGATTTACTGGTATTTCATATGTACGCAGTAGGCTCTCCCTTGTGTAATACCAAGAGCAATAGTTTTCATAAGTTTCATTCCTGTGCCTTAAAGCTGCCAAAGCATGCGCACATGGAAGTTCATCAAGTTGGAACTGGCCACAAGTACATTTCTTGCTTTCAAGACACACAATGTACCGCTTCACACCATCTATCACAGTATGGATATGATCTGTTGAAGCCCTCACCTACAATTACATAGCAAACAGAAAGAAAAATATTTACAATCATAAAAATAGATTATCTATAATTTATCTACAACTTATCTACAATCTACAAATTAACTACAATTTTTCAACAATTTATCTACAATCTGAAAATACTGTATATTAAAATATTATTTTTCTGCACCAAATAAACAGATCTTACCCTAAGTTTCTGAGATAATGTACTGTTTTTCTCCAATTCTTTGTTGAATTTGTACCCAAGGTATGTGAAAGTACCCTTTGCCTTCAATAACTTCTCTTTTGTCCAACGTTCAAGAAGTGTCCTCATATGCTCTAATAGGTCAAATATTGGCAGCTCTCTTGCATCTTTTGTTACAGCATTCAACGACTCTGCAATGTTTGATGTCATAGTCCAAGTTCTATTCACCGTTGCATGTACTCTTGACCATCTATGATAGCCAATATCATAGAGGTATGATTTAACACGCGGGTCTATCTCTTCAATCTTCGACATTCTTTCATTAAATTCATCCAGAGTGTATGACCCTGCTGTAGCAAAGTACAATTCAATTAATTGTAGATGACCCTTCTTGAACTTTGCCCTTATGTTTGTCCAAATATGCCACACGCAAGAGTAGTGTGGCACGCCTGGATAGACAATTGATGTTGCCTTCAGGATACTCTCATTCCTATCTGAAACAACACACATTGAAGTTCTTTCACCATATGCTTGCTTGAATTGCTCAAAAAACCACTTCCACGATGCGTCGTTTTCCGAATCAACCACAGCATATGCCAAAGGCAATATTGTACCTACATTATTAGTAAAAAAATAATGTACTGCCAGCTTTGAAAATGCATATAAAAACACAAATACATATAAATGATAATATATCTACAAAGTATCTACAATGTATCTTAAATTTATAAACTGCCTACAAAATAACTACAATTTTACCTGCTGCTTCCATTGTGCTTGCTGTCAGCATAATCCCCCTGTAGGCTGTCTTTAAGAATGTCCCATCAACCACTACTACTGGTCTACAATATTCCCAACCACTTATTGATGTACAAAGAGCAACAAATGCATATAAGAAGCATTCATCTGTTGTCTTCTTCAATTTAACAACTGAACCAGGAAACGTCTTCTCAAGAATATAAAAATATTTTGGTAATTTGTTGTAGGAGTCAGCCGGATGACCTCTCAATAACTGTAAAGCCTTTTCCTTTGCTCTCCATGCTTGCATGTAGCTTAGGTTCACTCCGTGTTGGGACAACATGTCAGTTTGTATGTCTTTTGGTGTGTAAACTGTCTTAGGATCACAATACTTTGGCATGACCATGCTACCAACTACAACTACAGTACGTTTGCACTATATGAATGTATCGTCCATTAAGGTGCATGTGTGTTGTTGGTTGAAACTCCTGATCTTGAACATTGCAGAATCATTAATTGATGTTGCCTTGAAGTGCCAATTACAGTTTTTTGCAACACATATAAGCCAGTAGCTACAAAAAAATACATTTATAATACAAGTTATCAATGTAGATGTAACAAAAGCACTGTTTTAACATAAAGTAACACACTATACAATATGACTACTTTTCATCTACATATCACAAGGAAAATACTGTTTATAATGATCTTTTCACCATTAATATCTTCATACCTTCTCTGGCTAGATCTTTTAACCCTGAATTGGAACTTGTGCATGACAGAATAGTGCCTCATTGCATTTGCAATTGTTTGCTTGTCTTGATACACTTGTCCTTCTTCTATAACACTTTGTGTACCTTCAATTATTATTTCACTTTGATATTCCTCTATGACTGTGACGACCCAAAGGGTCATCACCTGTTTTCTCACTCATTCTGTGTCTCCGAGGCCTTGAAAACCTCATTTAGGCTTGTCTCGATTTGCATGCGCAGTCCGGGGCGCGTAGCTGGAAAGCTTAAATATAAATTCTGTGTAAAAATTGATGAATTTTGATATTAATATGAATAAAGTTGACTTTGGTCAACATTTTGGGTAAATGGGCCCGGACCCGTGATTGGACGGTCCCAGAGGGTCCGTAGAAAAATATAAGACTCGGGCATATGCCCGGAGTCGAATTCCAAGGTCGAGAGCCTGAGAAATGAATTTTTCTGTGAAATTGTGTTTCAGAAATTAATATGGAAATTTGAAAAGCAAATTGATTAGAACGTGTTGGTATCGGGCCCGTATTTTGGTTCCGGCGCCCGGTACAGGTCTTATATGTGGTTTAAGCGATTTTTGTGAAGTTTGGTTGAAATCGGACGTCATTTGATGTGTTTCGGACCTAAATATCAAAAAAATGAAAGTTTATGAAGTTTGATGAAAAAGTGATGATTTTGAGGTTTAATTCATGGATTTTGATGTTATTTTGGCGATTTGATCGCACGGTTAAGTTCGTATGATGTTGTTGAGTTAGTTCATGTATTTGGTTAGGAGCCCCGAGGGCTCGGGTGTGATTCGGAATGGTTTTAGACTTAGAAATGTTGCAGAAATAGCTGTTGTTGGTTGCCCAGATATTCCTTCTATGCGATCGCATAAGAGTGATCGCGATCGCATAGAGCAAATTTAGGGGGTTAATAAATCCTTCTATGCGATCGCATTCTACCCCACGCGATCGCATTGTGTAAAGCCAGCCTTCCTTTTTTTTCATCTATGCGATCGCAACATCATGTCCGCGATCGCAGTGCACAACAGACATAACCTTATGCGATCGCATTGCCTTCTCCGCGATCGCATAGACCAATTTTTACCCAGCTATAATTAAATTCCAGAACAGTGTAGTCGCGGACCCTTCATAAAAATATCCGAGTTTCTTCTTCTCCAAGGTCCTTAGGCATCCATTGAAGCTTCCTTTCATCAAGACCACTTGGGTTAGTAAATTCCAACTTGTTTTCTTTATTTTCCATCATTATTAATCAAATTCCTAGGCTTAAATCATGTAATTTAGGGTAGAAATTGGGGGAAATGGGTAGAGTTAGGGCTTTTTTTATTTTTTCTTGATTTAGACCTCGTTTTGGGGTCGAATTTGAAAACAAATTATATATTTGGGCTCATGGGTGAATGGGGGATTTGATGTTGGTCCGAACCTCAAGTCTTGACCAAGCGGGCCCGGGGTCGATTTTTGGAAATTTTGGGAAGAAAGCTTAGAAAACCATATCTAGGCATTGGGTTTGATTTGTTTAGCTTATTAATGTTGTAAAGTCGTTATTTCATAGATTTGATTGAGTTGGAGCCGAATTCGAGAGGGAAGGCGGTCGTTGTGGATTGATTTAGCTGTGGAAGTTGAGGTAAGTGTTTGGCCTAACTTTGGCTTGAGGGAATAGCAGTTGGGTCTTGTTTGCTATTTGCTAATTGTCGAGTACGGTGTATAGGCATGGTGACGAGTATCTATACATTGGTATCTAGCATGACCGTGAGTCCTTATATTGTGCTTAACCTGATTTTGTTGTGATTCTTCCATGCTTATTTGATGATTTCTATGTAATGTAAAGAGCATGATAAAGAAATTATGATTATTAGACTCCGTGGAGCATTGGCTTGAGTNTTTCAGGACGCTTTTGGTCCCGATTTGGGTGGACCTCACTGGAGAGCGTCACCCCGGGGCAGGATTGCTTCCTGTAGCACCAGCCACTTCTCAGGCTCGGAGAGGAGTTCAGACGTCCTGCTACACGTACTCTGGAGCAGGTAGCTCCCCAAGCTCAGGTTCCAATGGTTCAGCCGGGTATGTGACTCAGACCGGCGATGGAGCGGCTATGTCCGCAGATGCCTTGTGGAGGCTGGATAGGTTCACCAAGCTCTTCACCACCACATTCAGCGGTGCTTCTTCAGAGGACACCCAGGATTTCTTATATAGCTGCCATGAGGTTCTTCGGACTATGGGTATTGTGGAGACCAATGGGGTCGACTTCGCCACCTTTCGTCTAGCAGGATCCGCCAAGACTTGGTGGAGGGACTATTGTTTAGCCAGACCAGCAGGGTCGCCATCTCTGGCTTGGGACCAGTTTGCAGAGTTGTTCTTGGAGAAGTTTCTCCCCGTTACTCAGCGAGATGCTCTTCGCAGGTAGTTTGAGCGCCTCCAGCAGGGCTCTATGACAGTCACACAGTATGAGACCCGATTCATTGATCTAGCTCGCCATGCTATTGTTATACTCCCCACCGAGAGAGAGAGGGTGCAGAGGTTTATTGAGGGAATGATTCAGCCAATCCGTCTCCAGATGGCTATGGGAGCCGGGAGTGAGATTTTTTTCAGGAGGCGGCAATGCGGCCCGTAGAGTTGAGATGGGTCTTGCACGGGGAGGTGGTCATGGGTCAGATAAGAGGCCCCGTCATGAAGGTAGATTCAGTGGTACCTCGTCTGGAGGTAGAGATTCTTATGGTAGAGGCCATCCTCCGAGGCCCTTTTAGTCAGCTCTCCAGGTCTCTCATGGTACTTCAGGCGGTAGTGGTTCTCAGCCGCATTATTCAGATCAGCAGTCTTTCAGTGCACCACCAGCTCCCATCAGTGCACCGCCACTTCAGAGTTTCGGGGGAGGACATTCAGGTCGACAGGATCAGCAGCCTCAGCAGCCGAGGGCTTGTTACGGTTGTGGTGACCCGAGTCACATTGTCAGATTTTGCCCTCGAGCTTTGGGTAGTTCCCAGCAACAGGGTCCTCGCACCATGATTCAGGCACCAGGTGATCCACAGGCTGCCCAGCCAGCTAGAGGCGGGGGTAGAGGTCATAGAGGTGGAGGTAGGGATCATAGAGGTGGAGCTCGAACCGCCAGAGGTAGAGGCCAGCCAGCAGCCGACCATTCCAGAGATGTGGTCCAGGGAGGTGAGGCCCAGCCCCGGTGTTATGCTCTTCCAGCCAGGCCAGAGGCTGAGTCTTCAGATGCAGTTATTACAGGTACTATTCTGGTCTGTGATAGGGATGCTTCAGTGCTATTTGACCCTGGGTCTACGTATTCATATGTGTCATCCTATTTTGCACCATACTTGGTCATGCCTAGTGATGCTTTGAGTATTCCTGTTTATGTATCTACACCGGTGGGTGATTCTATAGTGGTCGACCGAGTGCATCGTTCCTGTGTGGTAGTGTTTGAGGGTCTTGAGACCCGTGTCGATTTATTGCTCTTAGACATGGTGGATTTCGACATTATATTAGGGATGGATTGGTTGTCCCCGTATCATGCTATCTTGGATTGTCACGCCAAGACCGTGACCTTGGCTTTACCAGATTTGCCCCGTTTGGAGTGGAGAGGGACCCCAGGGCATACCACCCGCAGAGTTATTTCATATGTGAAGGCTCGACGCATGGTCGAGAAGGGGTGTTTAGCTTATCTGGCGTATGTTCGCGATTCCAGCGCAGAGGTCCCTTCTATTGATTCTGTTCCTATTGTTCGGGAGTTCCCCGAGGTTTTCCCTTCAGACCTGCCGGGTATGCCGCCCGACAGGGATATTGATTTTTGTATTGATCTGGCTCCGGGCACTCAGCCCATTTCTATCCTGCCGTATCGCATGGCCCCGCCAGAGTTGAAAGAGTTAAAGGATCAGTTGCAGGATTTGCTTGAGAAGGGTTTCATTAGACCCAGCGTTTCGCCTTGGGGTGCGTCGGTGTTATTTGTGAAGAAAAAGGATGGTTCGATGAGGATGTGCATTGATTACCGGCAATTGAACAAAGTGACGATAAAGAACAAGTATCCACTGCCGAGGATTGACGATTTGTTCGACCAGCTTCAGGGTGCGAAGGTGTTTTCAAAGATAGACTTGAGATCTGGCTACCACCAGTTGAGGATTAGGGCATCCGATGTCCCTAAGATAGCATTCCGCACTCGGTACGGGCATTATGAGTTCCTGGTCATGTCGTTTGGGTTGACCAATGCCCCAGCAGCATTCATGGAGTTGATGAACCGAGTGTTCAGGCCTTATTTGGACTTGTTCGTGATAGTCTTTATTGATGATATTCTGATATACTCCCGCAGTCAGGAGGAGCACGAGCAGCACCTCAGAGTGGTTCTTCAGACTCTGAAGGATAGTCAGTTATATGCTAAGTTCTCGAAGTGTGAGTTCTGGATGAGTTCAGTAGCATTTCTAGGTCACGTTGTATCAGCAGAGGGTATTCAGGTGGACCCGAAGAAGATAGAGGCAGTCAAGAACTGGCCTCGACCAGCATCAGCTACAGAGATTCGGAGTTTCTTGGGGTTAGCAGGCTATTATCGTCGGTTCGTGGAGGGGTTTTCATCTATTGCAGCCCCGATGACCAGATTGACCCAAAAGGGTGCCCAATTCAGATGGTCGGAGTCAGACGAGTGTGAGGCGAGCTTTCAG